ATTCATTCCAAATATAATTACCTAACATGTATTCAACCTCACTCATGATTCATATTAATCAAATTAATTTCTTGGTCTACAAACAACGAATAATAGAAGTATTTATTGTTGGTCGATGTGAGTATAAAATATTAGCTAGTCGTTCTCGTTTACAAAGTAACTTGATATTAATTCTACAGTTCCATGCTGCCAATTTTTAGCGAAGGGTAATGTGTTGAACAGTTCTATCAGATAACGAAAATCATTCCATCATACTCAAAGCAAGCAAACCAGATGACACTGTAATGTTGAGACGATTCATGGCATAACTCTGAATGAACTAGGATGATCTCAACCGATATCCAAAAATCCGCGTGAAAGAGCCTAAACCTAATGAAATCAGCGCTGGCTTTCAAATCGACAAGAGCAGATACTACATTTAGATCTTTGCTGAAAAACAGAGCAGCGATACCTATTTTCTTTTTTGCTATAAGAAATCTTCATAATGATATTGTCATTTCGCATTTAAAAAAAGTAACAATGAAAATAAAATTAACAATAACACGAGATGATTTTATAATAGTGAATGTAGCCATTTGGTATCATGCAGATCACTATTCAAAAAAATTGATTTATTTCAACCATTGCTCAACTATCTTACATTGAACAAAATTTATCTCTAGAGTTTTTATAAAAATGGTGAGAGCCTTGAGATAGTAATCTGAATTACACCAGTTAGAGTGATTCGAATCATTCTAACTGGAGAGAACTTTGAAAACCTCTAGTATTTCTCAAGTAGATTTTCAAGTATTGTTCCTCAGACAAGAAAATGTTCGTCTCATTTTGCTCTATCTTCTCATGTGAAACGAGGCAAACATGAACTAATTTGGCCGATTATCAACCGAAATTATGAAACATAACCAAAAAAGAACATGTTTTTTTCGAGTCATCCTTCCTATCTTTGTATGAATATTTCATTTTTATGAAAAGTCTCACGAAACAAAAATAACTCGATGAAAAATAAACTACTCTCTCTTGATAAAAAAAAAAGAATTTGAAACCATCTATCAATTCTCTGAAAATAGAAAATTCTGTTGTATGGATGAGAATAAAAGTACTAATCGTATAATCATTAATTTATATAGTTCTATAGTATATGTCTCTCTTTCATTAGTACGTAGATTAACGGTACATACATTGTTTAATGAATTTGGCTTTGATTATATCAATGAAAGATATAATAATTCTGACTCATATATTCATTATGTTATACGTATTTCTTACATCTTCTCCACAGAAAAGAATACTTGATCTTATGTGGGCCACATTTCTCGATGTCCAAACACTTACGATCAACATGTACTTTTTTTTTACACAAAATGAGTTGAATCGATTAGTTTGACGTAAATATAGTTTTATAATAATTGAAGATTACAAAATACGAGTAGATTATTTTGTTTGTGATATACTTATAGTATATTTCTCATAGAAAATAAATATTCTGAAACAAGTCAAAACAATTTCAATTCAACATTATACTGACAATATCTTTATTATGCTGGTATTAAGAATGCTATAGATTTTTTTATTTCACAATAAAGCATGTCCTTCAGACCATTTTTCACGGCGATATTTCTTTTGTTTTTCTGACTTTGTTACGTCTAACTATACCATCATTCGAGATCATGAGTATTTGACATATGGAAATCTTGGTTTATTAAATTCATGTAGAATTATTCTATAAATAGTTATTTAAAATGAAAAGTATTGTCGATAAATTTTATATGTCAGAAGAAACTACTGCTAATTATTTTCAGTTTTTTTTTCTTTGTTATTACATAATTACATTATCGTCTAAGATAATATTTATAGAAATATCATGACATTTGTCGATCTCTATAAGAGATGATTCTATTTAATTTTCAAGTTTGATTGAAAATTGTTCAAAGTTCTATGCATATTGTTTTCTTTTTCTTTTATTAAAATCATCATAATTGGTATACTCGAATGATGATAACATACAATACAATAGTCATTCACACTCTGGTGTCTTTTTTGTTTTTACAAAAAGAAATGATTTTCCTAACTCAGTTCCCTATTATGAATGAACACTTCATTTTTAGGAGAAAGATAAAGTTTTATTTTGTCTTTGCTCATAAAACTTTTCGAAATCTCAAAAATATAAAATATCCTTGAAAAATCGATGACAAACGAAAGAAATTTTAAAGAGATGTTTTTTTCTCATTTTTTCTTCAAAAAGGACCTTTTTTCTCATTTCCATGATAGTTGTTGTTTTAATTTATTTTTCTATCTTCTCATGTTATAGCATTTTATTTTTCAAAATATCTTCTACAAAATGAAACTGATTGATTGATAAAATCCTAGCAAAACGAAAAACAAAAAAAATTGACGTTTCTCTATACGTGAGGGCAGTCGAACAAGTATTTATTTATCGATAAATCCAAAATATAATGATTTCGTAATATAAAATGTTCTTGTCTCAAAAATGAATTTTTAGAATTAGTAGTTTTTTCCCACTCTGCCTTACATACTTTCTTTTGATAGATAAAAGGAAACGTAAAATTGTATGAGTAACTTAACCGTGTTTTTCTTTTTAAATTTCAAAAGAAAGAGAAAATGTAATCAGAAAATTTTATAATTTATTAGATGATGTCTATAGAAAGTAATTATCAGTTATTGCCTTTCTTTTCTGTTTTATAAAAGATTTAAACATTTCTTAGTTTCACGTACATAACCAAACTTCTAGTGTACTGTAATGGTTCATCTTTATATAAGGACCTAAGACCAGTTAATTCATCAACTCGAGTTGATTTTAATGAAGACTTCTCGTTTGATTACAAAGCCTGATTCATTGAACATATTAACTTTGTAGAAAATGTGATCTTCATTTTAAGAATAGTTGAGATATTGACATGGGTATAATCATCAAAATCTGCCATAAGATAAAATTAAATTTTCTTGGTCATATGTATCAATTATGAGTAGACAATAAATGTAATAAAGGAGTAACTATCATTCACTTATTATGAAGGATAACTGTATAAAATAAATCTTTTCAATAAGCACGTTCTGTAAATATCACAACAAACTATCAATAACCTGTATTACTGATTTTTCTATATGTATTCAATTGCATTCACAAATTCAGAGAAATAGTGATGAATATAAAACTCTCAAAATTATTTTCAATATTAGATTTAATCATTTCGTGATTGTGGATATATAAAAAACAAGACGAATGTTGAGGCACATGCACCAGAAATCATGAATTCCTCTCAAAATATACAGCTGATTATACAGTATATATTATCGTTTTTTTTTTGTTTTCCAGATCTATCTACAGAAAAAAAATTATTCATTTTCCACATTATGAATAGAAAACAGTGATACGAAAACAATACTATTTCTAGTTTTTGGGAATAGTTTTTTATACTAAACTACATACGATAAAATGTTAGTAGAAAGAATTAATTGAGTTTAGATTTTATAAGCACTATCATTTTTTCTAATATTATGCGTAAAGACAAGAGGAATGCCGTGCTCTTACTTCATTTGTGACAATTTTTTCTTTCCACTTGAACAATGCATCGCTTGTCACAAGGCGCAAGTGAAATCCGTTAATTGATCATATCAACTGAAACATGAAAATTGAGAAATATAAGAAGGAACAGAATTGTTTTGTTCATTGAAAATTCCAAAAACTAAATGCTTTTATTGATCAAATCTATTCAATTTGTTTAAATATTCACAAGTATTGATCAATGAAATAGATAATTGTTTGTAATTACTGAAAAAATCACTGTCTATGAAATTATATCATATGCTTAGAATTAAATGAAGTATATTCTGTGTTTTTATAGATTGCAACTTCATATACGATAAAAACAAATCTAAGTAAAAAAGAAATTTGTCAATCTAATGATTTCATGATAGTAATAAACCATTGTAGGTGTATTCGTGTATTTCATATTATTTTTTTCTCTCTTACAAAAATTATTCAACAGATAAAAGAACTTCCTTTCGTTTTCATAGTATTTAGTTTATTCAAATCTTTCGTCAAATTATTGTCGATATATTCTTTGTTTCGATTGGATGGAGATGTTATGAAGTTTCATAAAAAAAGAAAACATACTCAACAACTTATTTGTGTATTTTTCTTGTTAAGTTTTGATGTTTTTGAAAATAATACAGGCATATTCGGACATATATCCGTTTTCCATAATTTTATAAAGACAATTAGAAAAAGTATTAATTAAATAGGTATATACATAGCTAGACTAGAATATTTTTTATTAGATTTGTCTTAATTTCCGTAATTGATATGACAAAGAATAAATTGAAGGGTCTTCATTACTTAATATAGTCATAAAAAAACTATTCAATTCTCCCATCAATATAGACATTGTTCAATTGGTATTTTTTTTCCGATTTCGTTATGAAACGAACTGATGTAGTTATCGAGTGTTTGTAAAAGGGACAGTTTTATTGCGATATTTATTTTGTTTTTCTTTCCAAAAAAAGTGAACGAACGTGAGTAAATAATAGGTGAAAAAATGTACAAGAAAAACATTTCATTTGAAGAGAGCTTGTTACAATGCATAATTGAACTAAAGAAATAATAAAATAATGTATAAACGGAAATTACTAAGATTATTAGTTAATAAAATTGATTTGAACATGAGATATCTTTTGTTTATGCTTTATATTTATTTATTTAAATCTTATAATTTCAATTAGTTTGTTATCTGTTGACAATAGTAAGAAAAAATTTTGTTATACTCGAAGTATGTTAATTTCGTTGACTGAAAAGTGTCTCTTCCTTTTTAGAAATCAAATTATGTATAGATCAAATATGTGATTTTGTAAAAGAAATCTCAATAATAATAAATCAATTAATTAATCAACCATATATTTCTATTCTCATTAGACTTTCAGTGAAAAAATGATGATAAAGATGTGTTAACATTCTATGTGTGTGAAAGAATTTTGGTAGGAACTATATGTTAGGAAGTATAAGTGAATCGTTGAAAAGTAGGAGAAAAATTTGATCTAAATGATATTTAAAGAAGATTGCAAATGTCCCCCTATGAAATGATATCCTTCTCGTCACTTTTATGAGAAGTTTCTATCAATAAAAAGGCTTATAATAAAAGACTCATTGACATATTTATATTCGATATATATGATAGAATTCAGATTGATGTTGATGCTTAAAGAATATTTGTGTAAAGTTTTTTGTTTAAAATATCAAGAAACTTCTCCCGATTGTAACGTATTAAACAATGAGTCTTTTGATAAGATTCATAAACAATTTTCTTTACGTTCTAATATTTATTCAAATTTAATTTATGTTTCTTTTTTCAAATGACCTCAGTTCAATTCAAATAGTCATTAGTCCAGAAATCTTACTCATATGAACTGCTGATCGCAAGATTCAATTAGTATGATTAGGTACACCAGATCAGGCATCATATGATCATGGTTGCATAAGAGAAAAATAATTTTTGAATTTTAATATCAAGACAGACGAACTCTTTGCCAGTATTTTCATATGAAGAAATCCAATATGATTTTTTTTTGTATTAACCTCTTTGTATATCTGTTGTGTCTGTTATTTATTTGATTAAATCAGTAAATTGAATGAAGGCATTAATAATTGTTTTCTTATTCAAACGATTAATGTGGAAAATCAGCTATTGTAATCAATTTAAATTAAATAGTCTGGTTGCTTTGCCTTTTATTTTGAAGAAAGTTCGTTTCCAGGAAAAAGTGCATTTTGATCAGAGACTTCTCTTTAGGTTCTCTAATAGTGTAGAGCTAAGTTCAAATTTGGGTGTGGGTGTAGATAAAGAGAAGACCCCTACCCACATTCACACACCCACACCCTTCAAAAAAATTTCTTCAAAAGAAAATTTTTATCAAGATCAAATAACAGGAAAATTAGAAGCTGTTGGAGATACAGTAGAACCATTTCATTTTATTTTACATCCAAAAGATGAACAATATTTAACTCGTGAAGATCAAGATAAAGGAAAAGAATTATATTCACTTTTAGTTCAATTTGAAATTCTTCAAGGAGATACAATAAGAAAAATATTTCGAAATAATTCACAAGAACGAGATAAAATAGAAAAGATAATTCGAAATGATCTTGATCCTTCGATTGCCGATCCATTAATTAGTTTATTAAATAGTAAATCTTACTTTGAACAAAAAAGATTTCGAAGATGTTGTTTGTTATAGTGAAGAATTATGGCAAATTTTAAATATAAATAGAATAGAAAAAGAATTACCACGGATATATGAAAATGTTTCGAAAGATTTAGAAGATAAAATAGATCCACAACAAGTTAATATTTCTCTATGTGAACAATCAATAGAAAGAAAAATATACGAAAATTAAATTTAATGGTAATGGTCATGAAACAAAAGATCATAAAACATATTTAATAGAATTAAAAGATAATATTAGTCAACAAAATCAATATTTTTATCAACACAGATTTACCATTTACTACTAAAGAAGAAGAAGGAAATAATATTCGAATTTATCAAAAAGAAAAAAATATTTTAAAGTCTGGTGGACTTGCTAAATATAAATATGGAGATATTAAAAGAAATATTGAAAGAATTTTAAATAAAATTTTAAAAAATACTCAATTTGAAAATGATAAAGAATTAATTTTGTCGAAAATTTTGTCTTTACAAGGAGATATTCGTTCATTTAAAAAAGGTTTAAAAGCTAATTTAAAAGATTTTATAGATCTTCAAGATCAAGAAAATGTTCCAGGTGAATTAAGATTTTTTTGAAGGTTTTAATCTTAGTAAATTTTTGATTATTGAAGAAGATAAATCTTGGTGGGATTGAAATGGTTTTGCCGGGGCTGTTTTAGTAGCCTTTGGTTTGACTCAAATAGGCAATGCTTTAATTAGTGAAGGTGTTTCTAATATGGCAGGATTATCAGGTACTTTTAGTTGGAAAGAATGGGCAATACAAAAAGCAATTAGCTTCGGTCTCTCTATGTTGACTGCTGGAATTGGAAAGTTTTTGACGGATAAAATTATGGAACAATTCAAGAAAATGTTTATACAAAAGATTGTTAGTAAAATAGAAGAAAATTTATTAAAAGGAATAATCGGTTTAATAAATAATAAAGTAGAAACTCTTTATCTTCAAAGTAAAAAAGAAGAAGAGTTCGAAAAATCTTTTGAAGAATTGAAAAAAACATATTAGAAATAACATTAGGAAAAGATATATTATTACTTCAACAATTTGATAATATTCGAACATGAGTTGTATCTTCTTTAAGAAATAGTTATCATCTATTTGCTGATGGTCTAAAGAAATCAAATTCAAAGTACGTTAAAATAGCTGCTACTACTCTTAAAGCAATAGATATCATTAATAACTTGTGGACTGTAGTTCAATCTGTCTTACAGTTCGAACATGTCCTTAATACTTTAAAAGATATTATTGAAGGTACTACCAAAGAAAATCAGAATATTTATAGAAAAAACATTAATCAGAACCTTGTTGAAACAAGAGCAGAACAATTGAATAGAATCATTAGAGAATATATATATATATCAACTAAATTAACAAAATAATTAGATAAAGTAGTAAGACAAGCTATTAATGGAACATTAAAACAGTTTGGAAAAACCATTGTAGAAGGAATAAAGACAATGGTTGATTCACAATGTAATGGAAAAAAATCCAGCTAATATATTGAAACAATCGAATCAAAATAGACAAAAACATGCAGAAAGTCAAATTGCTAATAAATCAAGATTCAAAGAAAGAACAACAAGATCGAGCGAAACGAGAAGATCTACAACATAATATTAGAAATTCAAAACAAATTACTGCAAGTTATTTGAGATAAGCAAAAGATAAAGATAGAGCTTTAGGTCTAACTGATATCAAAATGTTAGCAGGTCGTAAAAGAAGAAAAATAACTGTTTACAATTCAGGTACTGACGAAAAAGAAATAGTAAATCCTTCAGAAGTAAGAAAAATACTTGCTCTTCTTAAACAATCTGCTAAAATATATTATGAAGCAGATGAAAATGGAGATATTGAACATTATTTTACTGGTAGAGGAACAGAAACATATATACAGATCAGTGGACGGATAGATTGTTTGCTAATAGCTTATCATGAATCATTAGGTAGAAAAGTAAATGAAAATATTATAGGACAAGAACGAGTATCACTACGCCGTTAGACTGCTAAACATTCAGAAAAATATGTTAGAGACGTAGATGGGAGATTGATTTGAATAGATGTAATCAGATGATAGATGGTACACCAAAGAAAAATCTTTACATCTTCAATCCTATCACTGTAATGCAGGATGGTTCTAGAAAAAGAAATAAAATATAAATTAATGCCTGAAGCTATGAAAAAATTAAGGAATGAAAATGATAAACTAGTGGTAATTATGTCTCAGCCATTTAAGGCGGGTACAATAAAGCAAACAGATAATGTACGCTTAGATGATCAGAATTTTACTGGAAATAGTGACTATATTAATTTTCAAGTGCAAATAGATGGACAGAGATATAAACATCAACGTAGGGGTAATGAATCTACAACTGTCGCACATGTTTTAGTGACAAGACCACTAAAAGATTCTGATGCTGTTTATCACTGTAGCTCAAGAAAAATTGCTCAGGTCCTTCTTGATAGTTTAAATAATGGCAAAACAGTAAAATTACTTGCAGAAAATCTTTAATAGGCATTTCAAATTAATCACCTTTAAGTTTTGGTTAAAATTTATATGTGAACAGTATTAAGATCTTTTCCATCGATACAATGCTCCTATTATTGTTTAAATGAATCTCATTATTAGTAGCATATTCCCTTTCTCCTTATGTATTTTCAGCAATCAATGTGTTGCCTTCTTCAAATTTTGTTGATCGAATGAAATGTACTAGAATATATACACATTCACCTTCCTGTTTTTATACAATTTGACAGTAGATCAGTACAACAGTAATAACTTGCAGGAGTGACTTTTCTCTTGTTATTTTCTTCCGATTCATTCTCATATTGTATAATAACAATAAAGAACAAAGAACAAAAATGAAGATATATATGTTCTAATACATTCCATTTCATTAATAAAATTTGATAGAAGGACTTTTGATTATGGAAATATCATGAAGTGAAAAAAAACATATTCTGCTCAAGAAAAGATTTATTTGAACAATTCTTCTATGTTAATTTATTATTTATACGAATAGTTTGCATATGTAACATGTTATTTTAAAGAAAAACATGTTCAAAAAATGAAATTGTTAGAAAAATTTTTCTTTTTGCATATTTCAGTAGTTAGTTAGTACTGGCCCTATGATTCAAAACCATATAACTTTCAATACTACCGCTACCACGGAGGAAATAGATATTTTAGACTTTTTTTAGTTTGTAGAGAAGGTCTAGACACATCATTTTTGGATTTCTCTTTTGAATGATGGCATGATCTCGGAAATATTAGCCAGGAAAGTCTATACACCCTCAATCATCAAAGACTGTGGGTGCTCAGTTTGACCGAAAGCTTCAGTTCTTTTTCTATCATCTTGCTTCCATAATACATCAGAAAAAAATGTTTTTTTTTTACCACTTACAGTGTTTGCATAATGCTAATGAACGCTATCTCATGTGAAATCAAAATCTTCAAAAAACTCTGTCTGTAAGTAGAAAAATATTTTTTCAAGACTTTGATTATTTTGATTTTACATAAGATAGAGACTCCTTAGACTTGCCTGTTCATTAGAATTATGTGAACACTATAAGTGGTTAAAAAAATCATATTATGGAAGCAAGACGATAGAAAAAGAATTGGGGCTTCCGGTCAGACTCAGCACCTCCGTATAATTCCAACTTTGCCTATAGATTTTTATGTATTCTGTTACAATCAAAATAATTGATGAAGACTTTACATAAAAATATTTTATTACACTTCTAAGTATTATATCATTTCTAAAAAGTTTTGTGTCACAATTTTCTGCAAAAACATTCATTTTTTTGTGTGTACAAAGTTTCATCAAACTAATAAAGAAATGTAAGTTTAAAACTAAAAAATTTTACTAATATCCATTCTCTGTTTAAAAACGCCTAATAATTGAGCTATCTCAATTACTTTCACTTATGTATTGCGTTTTTTTGTACAACAAGTTGTCTGTTATGTTTTATTATTCATCTTCATTATTGTACTGTTTCCTATTCTATAATAATTTTCAGTATATTGTGCCAACATATTTATATTATATATTAATATGTTGAAATTGAGTGTTCCTTCTCTTTTCTGTATTACCCACACTTTTGATCTTGTGGATGATTTCTAGCAAATGACGGCTAGTCTCTCTCCCATACTGCTGTCTAGTTAATTTGGTACTAATAAGACAAAAGAAAATATGAGCAAAAGAAGATCGAACTGAAGCATTTTAATTGATCTTGTTAGCATCGTATACTTCATGCCTCACTATAACATTGATGACGTGAACTGATCTGATAACCATTTTGTCTGATGGTACACTCAAAATTAACCGAAATTGATATCCAAAATAATCAGTAATACCTTGATCAGAATATCTTGATTGCGAACATTTACAGAACATTTCAAGATGAAAATGTGTCCCTACGTTGTCATTAATAGTCAAAGACTAAACTTTATCTTCGATACAACAACAAAAATTTTCCGGATCGAGTATGTGTAACGAGACCTATCAACACGTTGAAATTTTTGTTAAGAAGGCAAGCTTTGATTCGTTCTATCATGACACTGTAGTGGATTTACTCATGAAAGTAAAACAATTGAAATCAAGTGAATATGCGATAACTTACGAAAATTAGCAAATCTTGATACTATCAAAATCAAATTTTTCATAAAACCAGTATCAAGCTAATCCATCTGAAATTCTGGGCGTCAAGAACTAGCGTGATCATCTTATTTCATGACATTTCAGTAAAGGAATTTACATCCTGAAATGCATCCAGATCGATTGCACAGATTTGATGTAATTCTATTACAACAAAATGATTATAGTCAATCACACATTGAGTTCAATGTCATCACAGAGAATATAATGTTTGCGCAAAATATAATCATCTATATCGATAATGTCCACTGCTATCAAATAGAAATCATGCTAAAGATATTATTTATATATGTTTGTTCTCTTTCTTTTTGTCAAGTATTTTCTCTATTGTTTTCTGTTGGGTCTTCTTATACCGGTTTTTCTTGCTTTGATATCCTAACGTATATATTTTCCAAATGTATTGTGTTATCTTTTGATATCTTCCATTTTTTTGCTTAATATTTGATGTAATATCTGGTGTGGGTGTGGGTGT